AGCAGCCTCACCGCCTCAGGTTATTGGTTCAGTAGCAGAAATGAGCTGTCCCTGTTGCCATTTAAAAGTTACTCAGTTTTGTTCGGTTCATCTGACTTTAGTTACAGTTCAAGTAGGTCTGTACTTTCTTTTTGCTAGTGAGGAGGGTCAGCATTATTCCTCTTATTTTGTAGTGGAGAGTCACACAAAACTTGGTTTCTTTGGGGCTTTAATAAAAATGTAGAAGAATGTGAGATGGGTGCTCCTCTCTGACATCTTCAGAACTTACCAGCAAGCAGCTGTTGGACAACACAGGTGATGAGTGTGTACTCTGTGAATGGGATCAATATTTCCCTAATAGATGTATCCCTTTTATGTTACATGGATGGAGTGGAGAGTAAAATTAGATGTCTTTGTGTTTACTTAGATGAAAATCAGAGGTGAAAGAGATCCACTCATGCATTAAATCTGTATGGTGTTTAGGAGCCATGGGGTTGTCATTTATGTATAAGACCCCAAAAAGATGCTGTAGGTGTATGATATCCTATTCTCTTTACTTTTTAGAGTTAGGTGTGCAGATTACTCTGGCTCACTTGGACTTTTCTGCCTCCATCTTTTGTTGAAACTATGTTTCTTTGGATATCAGAAATAGATTATAGCAACAGTCAGGATAGCTTTCCACTAGCTGAAGTTGGTTTATTTGATACTGCCTTCATGCATCTGGACACACTGTTCCAAACTACCTTCACAGGAGACTGATCTTCAGTAGAATTCATAGGGCCCAAGTCCAACCACCAACCACTTCTTCAAAAATACAGGCTGTCAGTTTCCAACTTCTTACTTCACCTTCAGGAACAGACCTGTGTTGACCCTGAGTCTTTAGAGAAAAAAGAGCCACAGCTTCTTTGGTTGATATCTCACTGCTATGTTTTGGGCTTTTTATTTAAAAAAAAAAAAAGCCATGCCTACTAGATGTCATCAGTGGGACTGCCTTTTTCCTCTGGATTTTGGCCCGAATTCTCCTGTTCTGAAGCTCTTGATTCTTGAGGTTGGGGTTGTGTACACTGTTCCACTTTTGTCCACCCGCTGGTATAATTTAGTAAATCTGTCGTTTATGCCCAATGTAACAGAGTCATTTAACTGCAGGAGCTCACCAGTACAATTAACCCTGTTCTGTCAAAACGAGGAGCTGATTATCTTGGCATTCATGGGAGCATAGAGCACAGTTAGAGTGCTGCGGTTTCTGGCCCTCCCGGAGCGGTATTGCAGTCAATTGATTGTTTTGTTAATTTGTTCTGCATCGGTATCCTGCTGGTTTATTATCATCCAAGTGACTTTATGCACCATGCATAAATACAAGTATATTAAAAATCAATACATGAACCTTTTTTCCTTGTAAAAATCTTGTCATCCATGGGCCACCTTCTTTGATACATGACCTTCATTCTGGTTACAACGCAGCTAGTAACTTTTACATGTTTAGTCACATGCTAATAAAGTAGATGGTCAGGTTTTGGTCTTTACTTAATCCTGTAACCTAATGAAAAAGGAATAAATTAATTAAGAATGAAATAAACAAAAGGCTGTTATTGCTGATAAATAAGCCTAATTTTGAGACAGTAAAATTCATGCTGTTTTAGTAAGAAAATCTCGTTCCTTCACTAGGTTCTAATAAGTATCATGCTTCACAGGCTCAAATCATATAGAGATGCTATTATCATAAGCCTGAGTCTTATGAACACTATTTTTCCTGCTTCAGTTAGAGAAACAAGTATTTAAAAGATGGCAGAAGGTTGAATTGTGCACTGGATTGAGGGCTGGATTCCAGGTCTGAACTTGACACAAGTACATGGGATTATGGCTGTTACAAGATCAAAATGTTTTCCAGTGATTTTCTACTGTTGCACATGCAAAGATGTTTTCTTGTGTGTGTGTTTTTGAAACGCGCTACCTGTGGCATGATACTTAATGCATTTATGTTACTGATATCACAGGGAGCCCTGCTCTTCTTTAAGAAGAAAACCATAAGATAGAAGCAAAATTGGATGTGGTCCCTCACCTGATCTAGACTAGATATGTAAGCACAAATCCCCAGCTCTGGAAAAACACCATTTTTCTAAAGTAGATTCCCAGCTGACAGGAAGACTAAGATTCTCCCAAGTCAGCTGTCTGCAGCCCTGAATGGGCAGATCCCCACTCAGATCACTGGATTTGGATCATGCTTTTCCAAGTTGGTTTTATTGGGGATTTTTTTCTGGAGTATATGGATGTTATCTGATCTTGGGATCATTGCTTTCTGGACACATTTTCATCAAGAGAAGGGCAAGTTCTTACCTCATCCTGGCTAAGAAACTTGTACAAGGCAACTGAATGAGGCAATTTGGAGATTATGTAAGTGAGAAGCTACCAAGGACTTACCCAAACCTTTCAACTCATTTCATGACAGAAATGCCTAATCTTTTCTGGATGTGATTGTATGAGTTACCATCATTTGCAAATGTGAGGAAAACCCCTTTTTTTCTGTAGCGAAAAAGAGGCCTCAGAATTTACGTGAGTGTTATGTCTATGGATGGTAACATCCTGTGTGCCTTTTTCCGTGTGAAATATTCAGGAAACAGCCCACAAAGTGGTTTTAGGTCAGAGAAGGTTATACGTCCTTGATGGGTATATTTCTTTGTCTCAGGAAATTATAATATAGCATAATAAATATAATAAAAAAATATATATTTTATTGTGAAGGTGGAACAAATCAAACAAATGAGATGTTCCTGAAGAGTGAAATCAGCCTGCACTATTTCTGCAAATTGCTCCCCCACTTCCTCCAGGTTGTCTTAAAGAAAAGCCAGGGCTTGGCAGCATCACTTTTAATTAGTCAAAATCCTTTTGTACTAGATCCTAATTCAGTGCCTTAATGCAGCAGGTCCTGCAGAGCCAGCAAGCTTGCGTGGGAGCACAAATGCATAAAATCTTTTTCTCTGGCATCCCTTTAAGTGAGGGTTGGCTTCTGTTCATAGGCATTTTCTGTGGTGACAGCTCGGGGTTTGCAGTCGCAAGCAGAGAGGCAGGGGTGGTAACGGAGGAAGGCATAATGACAGGTGATTGCTCTGTTGTCTCCATGGCATCACTGAGCCTTATCTTAGAGGTATCAAACAGTGTGCTTATACCTTTCTTTACTCTCTGTACAGATACCAGGTGCCAGTAAGTACACCTAGTATGGGTCCTACTTATTCACTGTCCTCTTTCCAGCTTATTTTGTATTAGGTTTTTTTCTTTTCAATCTGCTCCGCTTTTAATAAACCTGCAGAAGTAATGGAAACACATGGATAAGTGAAAACACCTACCAATTTGATATTTTATAATTTGGTACCTTCAGTTAAGGAGTTAGAATTCATACAAGTAAATTTTTAGAAACACTTGATACTATTTTTTCAGGGCACGCTGCCCCATCCTGCTCACTATGAATTGGCATCAGGTTTTCAGGGTTATAATGAAGCAATGTAGCTGTGAGGAAAATAGCTTTTAGCCCCCATCAGTTAGATCCCAGTTTCATCTCAGCCTCAGGCACCTCACTGAGCATCGTCTTTTGAGGCTCCTGCTTTAATTAACAGAGACAGAAGGACACCTCCAAGAATGACTCAACTGAGCTAAGATCTGATTTAGCCTTTAGATGAATTTCTCCTCTGTTGATTTTGACTGATGATATATGACTTACTGTGACACAGCGGTGTAACTCCTGTGTATGTATTCTTAATTAGAAATGCCAAAGCCACACATGTAGAAGTAGTTCTCTGAGTTATTAGATTTATTTAATGAGCATGCATTTTTTTCAAGAAAATGGCTAAGGAAATACTAGGGGTCTTACTGCCTTCCTGCTGCACCTCAAGGTGTACTCAGTTTATGGTTTTAAGCATTCCTCTTTGATCAAGAAGGGGAGATTTTTTTTTTTTTAATTAAATGCTGGGACTCTTCATGCTATCTTGGTTCCAGGTGTTAGGCTAAAGAGTACAGAAAGAGCATGCCAAATTTCACAGCACTTCTGCAAGATCTGGGAATATGTTAGCACATCATATAACTCCAGTTACAACCATTCAGTGGTCTCCTTTGGGAGTGCTCTTTTACATGGGTACAAGTGATGATTATGGTCTGACATTTGTAGTTCCTGCCTCCAAAGATAATTGCGTGTCTAACTTTTTTATTTTTTCTACAGTGCTTACAGAAATGTTTTTGGGGATTTGCTTTTCATGAAAAAAAAAAAAAGGATCTCTAAAAAATACGACTACGTATGTTTCGTAACCGTTTTTTTCATATCTTACACTTTAGCCAGTGTGGTCAGTTTAGCGGCTTTTTTGCCATTTAGTTTTTCTTGCCAATGTATTTATTTATCATTTATTTATTGCAAGGATAATCCCTGAAAGTAGATCACTTTACAAGACGTGTTTTTGAGAATCTCAGGAGTGTGGTGAGAGCACACAACAACAGATTTTTTTTCTCCCAGCAAATCTCTTTGGCAGGAAAGGCTATCTAATAATCTGAAAATGCCCTGGAGAAAAATCTGAAAAAGTAAAAGCATGGTCAAGACCTGCATCCTCACTTTTATCAAATTGGAACAGTGACATATTGGGAATTGGTTAAGTAATTTTAGCTTCTAATAACAACAATGTTTTGATTTTGGTGGTAATGAAAAAGAAAAGTGTGGTAAGAAGATCCATGATAATAATGATGCCTGAATAGGGGCTGTTTCTTAGGCAGATTGTTGGGTGTCTAAAACATGTTCAAGCTGCAGCTGTCCTCCAGATAGGACAGTTCTGAGTGTCTCTCCCCCACACAGCCAAGTCCTAGAGCTCTCTACCTGTTCACAAATTTTGACTGAAATCATTCACCAGTTTAGAAGTTGCAAATGAATGCACAGGCATAAATTAGTAGATTTAATAATCCTTATCTCTCATGAAAACAGGGCTAAAAAATCTTTGTGTATGTGGTTAAGAATGTTCAGCTAAAGATGTAAAAATTAACCCTTCCAGGTAAGGAAAGCTGTGCAACAGGAAGGCTTCAGCAGAAGGAAGCGAGGATATAGAGACATCAATGACATTGACATCAACATGAATGATCCTTTATTTACAAAGCAATGGTACCTGGTAAGTTTTGAACAAAAATCACAGTAATCAGAAATAAGTAGTTGGCATTCAAGCCATTCTGTGCTGTTGCAATGTTTTGCAAGTGTGCTTTCCAAATATGTCACAAGAACTTGGGAATGGATCCAAGGCTCAGTCCTGTTGTTTTTAACTGTACCTCTTTTATGCTGGGAAGACCCAGCACATTTCAAGAGCTAAATTTCATTTCAGTCAAAGGAAAGATCCTTAGAAG